AAGTTGCGTAAGTCAGTCAGTTCATTTGGCTGTATGATGTCAAATCTGCTGACGACTGCAACTTCATCTCCCGTTTAACAGCCATGAGATTAATAGTGTGATCAGAGTATTTTTGTGTTCTTCTGCGGCGGGTCTTGCAGAACTTAGCTCCTACTGCATGGACAGTTTCCTCGAGCTTGTCCTTCATACCCACTGCATTGCAATCTTCTAGGCACTGAAAAAGATTTTGTAACTCAAACTGAAAGGTTTCGGGATTTTGGATTAGAACACGAAGGGTATGGAGCGTTGGATTAATTAGACGAGACCTCTCCAACTTGAAGTTTAGGTTCAGTGTGCCTCTAATCATTCGGTGATCGCTACCAGTTTTCACTCTTGCGATCACTGAGACATCACTAAACAGTTGCCATCTGGTCGTTATAATGAAGTCAATCTCATTTTTTGTCAAACCATCAAAAAACAAGATAATACTGAATGTAAATACTGATACTTTTCAAAAATGCTTAACTTTCAATTTTATAAATCGGAAACAGAACTGGCTAATAGTGTTTTTTGTATGTGTTCATCCAAAAAATAGCAACCTTCTTGTTGATAATTATCTATTGAGTAATGTTGTGAAAATATAGTTTTCTTTCATAAAAACTGCTAACGTTTCAATGACGATAATTTAAGTGTGTACGTTTAGCAAATCGAAAGTTACAGCTGCAACAGCATTAGTTCTGAGATAAATTTTGGTCGATGTCTTCTAATTTGTTCACTCTAAATTCTAATCTCATTATAAAAAATACTAGTTTTGTTTTGATTATCCTCATCCTTTATACTTCTTTTTTCAAATGCAAAAGATTGTTGCACCTGGTTATCTTTATTAAATGATTTAAATATTTTTCCCCACGATCCTTTTTATCACCCGAAACTGTTTTTGAATTTATTCAATGCTATTTTTACGAAACCGTAACTTAGGTTAATTACAGATATTTTTGTAGAATACTTGAAACTTTTAGAAGTAACGATACCCATCTGTCACCGATAATTATTTTCGCAGACTGGCCTTCTTTGAAAAATTTCAGAAAATATCCGTTCTTTTCTAGTTTCGAAACAACATATTTGGTGATTAAATTCTGTTGCCGTGTAATTACTTATTTTTAATAGCTTTTTGTTATCGGGTATCTTACACTCACACTTTTTTTTCTTCGACATTCGGTAACTGCTTATTTGTTTTTTTTTTATTTATTCTTCCCGTTAGACTTAGATACTCTAAACTTCTGATTAAATTGATCTTCCATTATTTAACTAGTTACATTATTTAGCAAAAGCTACTATCTTTCGTGTTTTGTTTTTCTTTGTACTAGCAAGAATATTAAAAATTTAAATAATAACATTTTAATTTAAATCTAAAAGATTATCAAACTTATTGCATCGGAAAAGTATCAGTCTATAAATGAAGTAAATTGTAAAAGTTTACAAAACTTGGAAACATATATTATCAATTGACTATTGTATACCGATCTAAGTGCAAAACTAGTTAAGAAGATATTACAAATTTACGCCTTCTCTCTGTTGTATACTATTTAGTCATGAATTGACGGACCAAATCGCACGGGTTTTAATCTTCCGAGGGAAAAATATTTTTTCTGGTATTCCAACCTATGTGAGCTCCCAGTGGCAACACTATGTACCTCATATCATTGTCAATTTATATCTACTACAATTAGGAAACAATAATTAAAATGCAAACAATCACTATGACCGGGAATTATATCCACGCAGATGAGGCGTCAACTTAATATATTTTGATCGATGGAAACTTACAGTTAAGTTACTTTGATCAAATAGTTATATTCGTTGATGCCTCCTCTGTTTGTATACTATGTAGATGCTTAATTGCTACAATTTATTTATTTAATGTCATAAATTATCACAATTAACAATTTAAAACAGAAAAATCAATAAATAATATATTAATTTAAATAATATAACTTCCCATTATGAATTATTATTTTTTTTTATACTACATATTTTAAATTCGAACGCTAATATTACTCTTAATAAATAGTGGCTTACTATAAAAATCGATATAAGTTTTAGATGTAAGTTTTTTGTCTTTCTAACATTTTCAATATCAATACCACTTCTTTTAGGATGAAAAAGAGTAAATGCCTTTTACTATGTACAGTAAAAAACAATGTTTTTTATTGTTAAAATTCTTTACTTATCTAGCTGTCCGATTTTCTAGAATACATATAATGTATATAATTTCATTGTTTACAGCGTAAGAAAAACGCAAAATAAATTTATGTGTGAGACGGAAAGAAAGTATGTACATTACATATGCGCCTTGAAATACTACAAGGGGGTACAAAAGGCATTGAATTCTATTTTATATGAATATTCGTGCGTTCATATTAACTATCAAAGTGTATATAATATTATTGTTCAGTGTAATAAAAAACTCAATATAAAAAATATGTTTGAAAAAGAACGAGCTCTATACATTACATATCTGCCTTGCCGTACCACGAGCGGGTACATGAGGCATTGGATTCTATTTCGCACGAATATCCATATGTTCTTTTTACTCCAAAATTGTAATGTTTATTGTTATGACTACTTTAATCGCAGTACCATAGGCGGGTACACGAGGCTATTTTCACAACTAATCTTACTCACTTTCGGAACAAAAGAGGAGACAATTTATTTGCTCAAGTGATGAAGAAGATAAAGATTCTGTTTCACACAGCAATCTCTACCCTAAAAACTTATCAGTCAATCTTGTATTAAAAGAAAAATTGCTTTTCGAGCTTTCTAGATGTAAACAATTGCTTTTTTGAACAAGTGCTAAATCAGAGATAGAAGATTATTTGAAAAACTGAGCCCCATACTTTCAAATTTCAAGATATTTTGTATAGGTCTTATCAAGAAGACTGATAAAAAATGTAATGATGCTGTAAATAACTGCATTGGACTGTTATGAGGCTTATACAGTTTAGAGGCTCCTTTAAGAACAGCATTACTGCTATAAGTGCTAACCAATGACAATATAGAAAAGGCTTTAGGAAACCCAAGTGACTTCTCATTTGTTATAGAATTTTGTCTTTAAAAGCTCAAAGGATCTTCATAAATCTAAACAAACATACAGAAATTTTTAAACTATTTGGGCCTGTCCCCATCATTAGCAACTCACTAGGCATGTTGTAGTCTCCCCTTGTTGCTGTATATCAGCAGAGGAGATGGTATCAGGTAATATGTGGGCGGCGCCAAGCCTAACAATCGAGGAAAAAAGAATAGAGGTAAACACAGTTGAAGAGGTAAGAAAATTCACTTCAACTTATTTTTTTCTAAATGGTCTAACATATTATATCCAGAAAAGGAGCTGTCTCATAGTGGGTAGACACTAGTTTATAAGAGTTTGAGTCAAGCGTGTTCTCCTACAGATTTTTTAAATTATGTCAGAAAATATTGCATTAAATACAGCTATAAAATAAATTAAGAAAAGGCTAGTCTTAATTCTGTATACAATTAGTAAATACCATGATATGATTTATACATAGATTCGAAAATAAAAGAGTGGAATGTTCTAGAATTACTGTTAATAGGATTATAAAGGTAATTCGAGATTTGAATTCCTGAAATGAAACACAAATATTTCACATGAATGAAAAGTCAGTTATGTAACTACAATCCTCTAGAATGATATGGGACATTTGCTAATTTAATAGGCAAATTAATGTAAGTTGTCCAACTATTTCTTATGGGTAAATGTATAAAAAAATTGTATTTATTGTGTACTTTCTCCTGAATAAATATAATATTTTTGGATCTAAATTAACACTGAAAAAATCATATTCAGATTTCAAGTACTTCAAGTACAGGCTGTGCTAATAAAATGAAAATTCTTTCAGTTCATAATGGATATTGCTTTTCCGTCAAAAATACATAATTCTTAAGAAGGACAAAACATATTGAAAATATTTTAATATCATTAAAAACACAATCATATTTTAAATAACGAACTAGTACTACTTTAATTTTTACTTTGGATCATAAAGTTTTGTTATAATCCCTATGACTAAAATTTGTTATAATACTACAGCTATATAATACATAAATTATATATGTGGTAAGTAATAACCACATTAAGTGACATAGCTTGTAAAATTTATCTTGTAAAATGTGTGTATTTTTTGCCTCATAAATAACATATCACGGTAATTATCTCGTATGCAAATAATCCAGGAAAATAAATGACGAAATAAAATGGGAATCAAGTTACTAATAAATTACTATAGGAAAATTTTTATAGGTTTTTAACAAATTTAATATTTAAACTAAATTTAATACATTTGGTATAAGAAAAAAAATAAGTGCATAAAATTCATAGGTCAACCTTAAGTCTTATGCACTATTCTCCACAGTCTTGCAATACGGAATACAGAAGAAGGAATAACATCCTGGTCTTCATAATCCTCTTACTAAATCCATGTTAGATAGATAAATAACAACTTAAAAAAATCTTAACCTGGTCATCAACTGTTATGTAACATCTCTTTTGATCTAAACTTACCTTACTGTGGCAGTGCTGTTAAGGAGGTATTTAGGTACGTAAAGCATAAAAATAAACATTAAGCCCTTTTCTGTATATACAATAAGTCTATTGTCTAAAATCGTTATAGGTTAACACGTTCATTGCAACGTCACGCGACGTCGCGTGAAGCAGCCTATTACGCTGTGGCTGATCACGCGACATCGCGTGATGGTGCCTTACAATTGTATATGAGCCACAAAATAGCGGCCGCAGCGTATTGGATTCTGGTATTTGTTTTGGCCACTAGGGAAGGAAATTACCTATCTATTTGTGGGCGTGGCCTGCGGTTAGCCATCTTGAATTTTTTTTTCGCGTGCAGCTAGCCGCGCACTAGTTTGCTCTGTGCAGCCACGTGGGGTAGGAGTGTTTGGTTTTTTCTCGGCTGTTTTCGTTTTGTTTACATCAAAACTTTGTATTTATAATGAGTAATAATTCGAAACCGACAAAAAGGTCATCAGAGCCTAGTACATCGCGAGTTGCAAGAAGAAAACGACTAAATAGTTCGGAAGTGGAAGAACTTTTACGGGACTCGGACGAAGATGTTTATGCAGGGAGTGATGTAGATGATTTAGAAAACATAGCCGACGAAGGTGATGCAAGTTCAGAATCTGCAGCAGACGAAGAGGAGGAGGAAAACGTGGAAGCTGTGCCTGAACAACGTTTCGATGCCTCTAGTGATCAGACTTCATCGTCGCCACCGACTGACCTTCAGCAGCCATTCAGAACAGCATCTACGACACGTTGGACTACCGATTCTAGTTCGATGAGAGATATTTCTTTCACGAAGACATATGAACTGCTTGTGCCACCGCCAGGCAGTCCTAGAGGGTATGTTGATTTATTTCTTACTGATGACTATCTACACAAAATCGTCGATTCCACTAATAGAAATGCAGAAAAAATAAGGAATTCTACGCAGTTTCGCAGGTCTCGTATTACGAATTGGAAACTACTATAGAAGAATTGAGAATATTTATTGGTTTAATTTATCACACTGGCACAGCGAAAATGAACCGCTTGGTTGATTACTGGAAATCGCATCGATTGTATAAGTCAGTTTTCTCTGAACATATGTGGAGAAACAGGTTCCAACTTATTTTGCGATGCCTACATTTTGTTGAAGAAGGTGACGATCCTGCCCGCATGAATAAATGCAAAATGATAATAAATACCTTCTATGATACAATGGACAGGATTTATTATCCCGGTAGAAATTTTTCTTTGGACGAATCTATGGTTTTATTTCATGGCCACCTGATATTTCGGCAATACATAAAAGGAAAAAGACACAAACACGGAATAAAACTTTATATATTGTCAGAACCAAATGGAACTATTACAAGAGTTCATGTTTTTGCCAGTACAATGGATGAAACTTCTGGCCCAGGACACACAGAAAAAATTGTAGAAAAGTTATTGCAAAATAATTTAGATTCCGGCCACGCTGTCTTTATGGACAATTTCGGCATTGTTGTATTAAAACCATTAGCTGTCCTACAATATAATCAAAACATGTCAGTCGTAGACCTACAAGATCAAATGCTCAGCTACGTAAACTCTAGGTGGTATGTGAAAATTTTCATACATGTTATAATGATGAGCATGTTAAATGCTCGACAACTCTACAACAAATTCTCAGGCAAGCCTAGCTTATCATTATATGATTTTAGAGAAAAAGTCATCGAGTCATTTTTGCCTGAACGTCAAGTTGAGCCACAAGTGTCGCAGCAATCTAAAAAAAACAGATTAACTAAAATAGAGAAATCTAAAGAGATTTTTTCAGTACTGGTAGAAAAGCTACTGTAACGGCCAGAAAGGATTGTCGAAATTGTTATTCGAATAAAAAAAAGGGTAAATACTACTATGGAATGTAAGCAATGCCCTGATTCCTCCCCGTTATGTATTGATTGTTTTTTTGACCTGCACAAGTTTGCTGGTTTTTCTAATAAGTAAAAACACCTAGGTAGGTACCAAAGCGTAATTTTTGTTTTTCTTAGTCTATCTATAAGTTCATTGTTAGCTATAAGTTACATGTTTCTACATTATTATAAGAAGTGATTTTGATCTCTAATAAAAGTTTATTACAAAATGCATATTGAATGTTTTTTTTTTACTAATAAAAGCCTATTTTGCCATGTAAATACAAATCACGCGAATTCGCGTTACCGTCCATGTGGGCAATATGCCACACAATACAATTTATTAACAAAATCAATTTTGATTTTTTTAATAATAAATGCGTCCCGTATGGCCGATCACACGTCTTTGCGTGATAAAAATATACACATATATTTATGAGCTTATATATTATATAATGGTAGATTCCTTATATAAAAGCATTACTAGCACAATAAAAACCACATCCAACGATTTTTTTTAATTCGGCCATCTATGTAAGTTCAGCATTTTGGCTTGGCAATGAAGGAGTTAATTCAGAAATTTTCCTATTGTTCGTCCTATTATGATTTGGGCTCATATTGTGAAATTTAATGGCTTTTTCTTGGGTTTATAGGATGAAAAAATAACTAGAATACGATCAAAACAGAAGTCTAAAACAATTTCGTTTACATAGTTGAATTTCATCAAAAAAGAAACAGAAAACAGAAAAATATATTAGTACGAGAAAATGTGAGTATTTTTAACGACTTCAAGAAGGATAAGGTGTCCTATTCCAGTGTATGTTTTTTTGTGTGTTACCTCATCACTGTTCTCTAAGTGAGCCGATTTTGATAATTTTCCATATAAATTTGATCGGGATCTGACTAGTAGTTTTTGCGTTGTCCTTAATAATGCATATTTAATTGACTTAGATTGCATTGATTATGTTCTCATTATACTTATATTGAAGTCGGTTGTGCAATTTTTTTAATTTTTCCACTTGTATCTGTTACCTCACAATATCATAAACTGTTTGAACTTTAGTTGTTTAATTTAGAAATTGCCTAATATCCTGCAATAAGTAGGACAGCTAGTTAGGTAAAGAATTTATCAAGAAAATACATTACTTTTTTACTGTACATTGTACCAGGCATTCATCCCCTTCTCGTCCTAAAAGAATTGGTATTGATGGTATTGATATTCAAAATGTTAGAAAGACAACAAACTTACATACAAAAAAAATCCATTTTTTATAAATAGGCCAATAATAAGATTAATAAAAGCGTTCATATTTGAAAAAGTATAAAATAAATAAACAATAATTCACAATGGGAAATTACATGATCTAAATTAATATATGATGTTTTTAATATTATTTTATTTTTTAGGATGAGGTTACAAACGAGCACACGGTCCATCTGATGGTAAGTGGTTGCTGTGGTTCATAGACATCTACATCTATCTTTGAATACGAATCGAAATGCAGATGCTTTGTCACCCGCGACCACTAAGATGGAATGCCTCGTTTACAGTAAAAAGGTTCTCCAGTTTTCTTCACTCACCATACGAAACACAGCAGCATTAAGCTACTATAATGATTTCTTATACTAACGCGAACACTACACATTAAATAATACTAGTCTTTACTGAATTTATCGCGTATATTATCTTTTTTATATACCCGACGTTTCGAGCACTTTAGAGCACTCATGGTCACGGGGGATACTGAGATGTTCAACGTCCAGCCGGGCTAGCATGGGCAGGAGACAAAAATTTTATCCCCCGATTATATCCACAGGGGATAAAATTGTCTTATCCCTACGCCAAAGCTTTATCCACCCTGCGAGCATGGGCCTATGGTGGATATAATATCGACAGTAGATAAACTTATACCCAGCGCATAGATAATATTATACCATAGTATAAAGCTATAATGTATAAAGAAGGGCACGTTCGAGGAAACAAAGCGGAACGCCACGAAACTATGACGCTCCCGCAGTTAAAATTTCGAAAAGTGGTAAATAATTATCACATATCAGTGTACATAGTGTCAAAATATGCGTATTAACGAGACGCATCTAGTGGTGTAATTTTTTTTTGCCGCAAAACAATTTTTAGTGAAAAACTGAAAAACTTTTTTTTTATTGAAAAATCGTTTTTTCTCATATTAGCAAAACAGTAAATCGCTTGCGGCTCTCGATTAGTCGCCAGAACCTGCTATTTTTTTAGTGATTTTGTGCGCCACCTAGGGACACATCATCCACCAAAAATTTGGAATTTTTGGATAAAGGACACCTGTGTTATTAGAGGAAAAACGAAAACCACGTGGTTGGTGGTTTCGCGAACCAGGAGTTTGCGGCTGGAATTAAAGGTGTCACTGGCGGCGTCTCGGAAAGCTCTTTCCGAAAATATATGCATCATCAGCCGGAAGTGTATATCCTCGGAATAACCACACTTTTGCAACTGGTGTCCCACGTCTTGTAAGTTTGTACTGTAATAACTTTTATTTTTGAGTAACGACCCCCCTTCATTTTTTGTATAAGGAGGACAAACTCATGCCCATACTGTGGGTGAAATAAGCAGTTTTTAATAGTGATTTTTTTGTAAAACTTATCCCTTTTCGCCATTCCGTGATAAGTTTGTTTTACGTGTAGTGGCTAGCTAAACTAAACAATAGCTCAAAAAAATAATGAAATTGTCGTTCACTTTAATAGTTACGAATACATTGATTTATATCCATTTTACATTTGTTTCTCTTATCTTTATTTCATGTCCAATCTGTTTTATTCTACATTTGTTATAACATCTCTGTACATTGTCAATCTTACATATTACATTTAGAATAGCTATAAGGTCCACTTTCTTAGTATCCTATTTTAAATTTTTCAATCCCCTTTCCATGTTATAAATTTTACTTGTCAACGCTAATTTAGTTGTAATATCCCATAGATATAAGAAAGAAGTGAAGTGTAATATCCACTTTATATTTTTAAATAATTTAGTAGACTTTATATAGCTGATAAGTTATTTTTGTATATACTTAGCTTTTTTTCTCTTTTAACATTATTACAATGTTTAAATTACTATTTCATGCCTTTCCTTTAATAATGTACAATACACATTAATACATTACTGTGACGACTAGAGACTACTGTAAATAATTAATGTAATAGTGGCATTGTAAAATAGTAAAATTGTAAATCAAAATTTATATAGACAGTGTGCTAACTATAGAAATATTGTATTAATTACTTATGTTTTTATTGATATTTTAATTTGTTTTGTTTAGTTTTAAGATTAAGTTGACTAGTTTTTTTTTTTAATAGAAGAGGGGGTAAACGAGCATGCGGCTCACCTGATGTAAAATAACTACCGCTGCCCATGATCAGCCGCAACAACAGGGGAATTGCAGTTGCGTTGCCGGCCCTTTAGAAAGGATTAAGCTCTTTTCTTGAATGTCCCCAGGTCGTATCGGTTCGGAAAAATCGCCGGTGGTAAACTATTCCACAGAGAGGTTGTATGCGGAAGAAAACTCCTTTTGAAACATACAGTGGTGGATCGCCAAGCATCCAGATGGTGTGGATGGTATCGGGACGTTTGCCGCGTAGTGCGTTCACGAAATTTGGCGGCTGGGATTAATCCGAACAATTCCTCAGAGCACTCTCCATGGTATATGCGAAAGAAAATGCAAAGAGATGCAACATCTCTTCGCAGTGCCAGTGAATCGAGCCGATTGGAAAGCACTCAGTCGTCGACGATTCGAGCCGCTCTGCGCTGGATGTGCGCAGCCCCAGCCCAGAGATGGGAACAGTATTCCATGTGCGGCCGAACCTGCGCCTTGTAAAGTTGCAGGCGGTGTGCCGGCATGAAATACTGTCTCGCTCTGCTGAGCACGCCAAGCTTTTTTAGAAACCAATTTGGCCTTCTCTTCCAAGTGACCACGAAACTGCACGTCACTCGATATGTCGACGCCGAGGATTCCGATACTGGCTATGTTCAGCAGTGGACTTGTGATGGGATTTTATGATAATGATGATGATTTATATATTATTAGCAAATAATTATCTCTTATTTAATTCGAATAAGCTATTATTCACAATTAAAAAATTATGCAGCCAAAACCAAATAAGATGTTGATAGTGTTGCAATATCGAATAGCATTGGACCATTTGTAGTATGCGGTTTACGTACTACCAATGAACTACTGACATGTTAATGTACAACATTAACTTAATTATTATTATAGTATTCGATCCAGAAATTTTAATAAGAAATCATTATTATTTTGCAAAATTCTTAAATAATTTGCTATTTTTTGTTTTTTGTTTAGCGTTTCCTGATTTCATTCGTCACTTACTAAATCTATAAGTGTGAAAATTAGAGGCGTGGTAACTAAGTTAATAAGCGCTTGCCTTTAAAGTTAGTACATTTATGCCACTATATTATATGCCTCGATATGTCGACGCCGAGGATTCCGATACTGGCTGAGGCAACAAGGCAGTACGCCTTGAAATTGAGGAGATACGACAAAGGGGTTCTTTTTAGCGGTTAACGCGCAAAATTGTGTCTTCTGCTAGGTATCCTCTAGCTACATTTTGCCTTGCTTGTTATATGCCCGGAAATGACATTCACTTCAGTACTAGTCAAAAACAAAATGAAAGAAGTAGATGCACTAAAACTTGTATTTACCTACATAAGAGGATAATTAAAGTATACTGCATTCTAATGATGGCCCCAATAACTTAGGTCAAGTATTTGCTGATTATTTGTTGTTTGAACAACAGCCAAGCCATGACTCGTACATCTCTAGTGGGTAACTACAAAGATGTAAACTACCTACCTAGAACAAATATTAAGTTAGGTTAGCCACTTTAGATGCTTACTTCAATATGCACTGGTAGTCCATCCACAGAATTAATAGGCTTTAA